GCTCCACTCCCTCCCCTGACCGAGAACTCCGAGGCAGTGAGCTGGTCTTTCTCACTCAGGTATACCCAGTGCTGGTTGATATGGTGTTTATAGGCATTTTAAGGAATATAAAACTTACACAGCACAGAAGGAAGGAAGGAAGGAAGGAAGGAAGGAAGGAAGGAAGGAAGGAAGGAGGGAGGAGGGAGGGAGGAGGGAGGAGGGAGGGAGGAGGTGGGGAGGCCAGAAGCCAAACCACTTGACAAGTTATATGTTTATATGTTTGTTGCACATAAATGCATGGCGAACGATGTTGTTATGCCCACGCAAGGCCCGACTTGCTTGCTGTTTGTGTTGAGTGGAAGGAAGGAAGGAAGGAAGGAAGGAAGGAAGGAAGGAAGGAAGGAGGGAGGGAGGGAGGGAGGGAGGGAGGGAGGGAGGTCAGAAGCCAAACTACTTATTAAAAAAAAAAAGAGAGAGAAAGGAGGGAGAAAGGAAAGAAGAGAGGAAGGGAAGGAGGGACGGAGGGAAGAGTAGTAGGGCTGTGAGTGAAAGGCTCACGAACAACCCCCAATGAGCATTTTCTTTCCTCCTTGAAACCCTGTGGCATGAGCATTAGAACCACCCTTTCCTTTTTTTTTTTTTTTTCTTTTCTTTTTTTGAGACGGATTCTTGCTCTGTTGCCCAGGCTGGAGTGCAGTGGCGCGATCTCGGCTCACTGCAAGCTCCGCCTCCTGGGTTCACGCCATTCTCTTGCCTCCACCTCCTGAGTAGTTGGGACTACAGGCGCTCACCACTGCACCCAGCTAATTTTTTTGTATTTTTAGTAGAGACGGGCTTTCACCGTGTTAGCCAGGATGGTCTCGATCTCCTGACCTCGTGATCCGCCTGTCTCGGCCTCCCAAAGTGCTGGGATTACAGGCGTGAGCCACCGCGCCCGGCATTGGACCACCCTTTCCACACAAAGTAACCCAACTTGCCAGGCTGGTGACTGGTGAATGCAGGGCTTGGATCTTCCACTCCTCACTCAGGTCTTTCTGTCTCATTACACCCTGTGGGAGAGTCAGGTTCCCCAGTTCAGGGCCCAGGGCCATGGCAAGATGCTTCTGGGGGCCAGGGTCCGGAGCTAGGCAGGCCCCTGGTTTCCTGGAACTTAGGACTCTGAGCCTCCCTTTTCATGGCAACTTGGTCTTAGCCCTCAAGAGCCATATCTGAGCTGGTGTAGACCAGGCTCAGGGCCAGGAGAGGCACATCTAGCACCAGCATCCCCGCTTGCCTGCTCCCCCTCGTCCAAATCCTCTGATCGCCCAAAACCCATTTGATTTCTCAATGATTAATCCAGCTATGTGGAGAGCTCTCAACAGGCCCAAAGAGCAGATGGAGCTGGAAGGAACCCACCCCTGCCATGGGCCCCAGGAAAGGTTCCCAGCCAGTAACTCTCCTGCCCTGCACGAATCCCAGGAGCACCAGCCCTCCCTCCCCGTCGCCCCAGCTCCTGTCTCCAGGCAAGGCCTGTGGTTTTTCCCCGGGCAGGTGAGAGCATGCCTGCTGGGCCTGCCACTCTCTGTGCTTCCTATGTGGGGCCTCTGGGGCGTCCATTTCCCTGGCTGTGAGGGACCAGACCCCTTGGAACAAGGATTCCTAAGGGGTTTCTGAGGGTCATGGCCACAGAGGGCTGTGCTCTGGGCCCAGGGAGGCAGCTGGGCCACAGGATCTTCCTCTCAACATGCTTCCAACTCCCATCCCCCAGGCCTGCATGCCCAAGCCTCCACTGATCCCTCTAATTACCTCCCTCCTCTCTTCTTTCATTTCTCATCTCCCTCTCTTTGCCTCTCTGTCCCCCCCACCCCCCGCCCCCGCTCTCTCCCTGTCTGTGTCAGCCCCTCACTGTTCTCTGTGATTGATTCCATTTCAATTCCCAAGACTACCCTGTGTTTCTGTGTCTCTGTCTCTGCATGTGTCTCTTTCTGGGTCTCTCTGTGGGGTGTGTACTCTCTGGGCTTCCCTGCTGTTTCTCATCTCCCCATCTCCCCGTGTCTTCCTCTGTGTCACCCTGCCTCTCCCTGTGCTCTATTGGCCTCTGCATCTCTGAGTCTCTTGTTTCTGTGTCTCCTTGCTCCTTCTCCCAACATGATATGTGGGGAGGGGGCAGGTGGAAGGCCACCCTCTTGAGACCCCTGTCCTTCCAACTAACTGCATAGGCTGAGGTCTGATGAGAGGCCCAGGCTGAAGGAAGGAAGGAAGGAAGGAAGGAAGGAAGGAAGGAGGGGAGGGAGGGAGGGGAGGAGGAGGGAGGGAGGAGGGAGAGGGAGGTCAAAACTACTTATTAAAAAAAAAGAGAGGGAGAAAGAGGGAGAAAGGAAAGAAGAGAGGAAGGGAAGGAGGGACGGAGGGAGGGGGAGAGGTAGGGGCTGTGAGGAAAGGCTCACGAACAACCCCCAACAATGAGCATTTTCTTCTCCCTGAAACCTGTGGCATGAGCATTAGAACCACCCTTTTCCTTTTTTTTTTTTCTTTTCTTTTTTGAGACTGGATTTGCCTGTTGCCCAGGCTGGAGTGCAGTGGCGCGATCTCGGCTCACTGCAAGCTCTCGCCTCCTGGGCTCACGCCATTCTCTTGCCCTCCACCTCCCGAGTAGCTGGGACTACAGGCGCCACCACTGCACCCAGCTAATTTTTTTGTATTTTTAGTAGAGACGGGGTTTCACCTGTTAGCCAGGATGGTCTCGATCTCCTGACCTCGTGATCCGCCTGTCTCGGCCTCCCAAAGTGCTGGGATTACAGGCGTGAGCCATCACCGCATTGGACCACCTTTCTACACAAAGTAACCCAACTTGCCAGGCTGGTGACTGGTGAATGCAGGGCTTGGATCTTCCACTTCACCTGGTGGCCCTTCTGTCCCCATTACACCCTGGGGAGTCATTGTGGTTCCCAGTTCAGGCCTGGTGGCCATGGGCAAGATGTTTCTGGGGGCTAGGGTCCGAGTCAGGCAGGCCTGGTTTCCTGAACTTAGACTCTGAGCCTCCCTTTTCATGGCAACTTTGGTCTTAGCTCAAGAGTTGTATATATCTGAGCTGGTGTAGACCAGGCTCAGGGCCAGGAGAGGCACATCTAGCACCAGCATCCCCGCTGCCTGCTCCTCGGGTCCAAATCCTCTGATCGCCCAAAACCCATTTGATTTCTCAATGATTAATCCAGCTATGTGGAGAGCTCTCAACAGGCCCAAAGAGCAGATGGAGCTGGAAGGAACCCACCCCTGCCATGGGCCCCAGGAAAGGTTCCCAGCCAGTAACTCTCCCTGTTCTGCACGAATCCCAGAGCACCAGCTCCTCCTCTCCCTGTCGCCCCCCAGCTCCTGTCTCCAGGCAAGGCCTGTGGTTTTTCCTGGCAGGTGAGCATGCCTGCTGGGCCTGCCACTTTCAGAAGCTCCATGTGGGCCTCTGGGGGCGTCCATTTCTGGCTGTGAGGACTAGACCCCTTGGAACAAGGATCTTGCGGGCTTGAGGGTCATGGGCCACAGAGGGCTGTGCTCTGGGCCCAGGAGGCAGCTGGGCCACAGGATCTTCCTCTCAACATGCTTCCAACTCCCATCCCCCAGGCCTGCATGCCCAAGTTTCCACTGATCCTCTAATTACCTCCCCTCCTCTCTTCTTTTTCATTTCATCTCCTCTCTTTGCCTCTCTGTCCCCCCACCCCCGCCCCGCTCTCTCCCCTGTCTGTGTCAGCCCCTCACTGTTCTCTGTGATTGATTCCATTTCAATTCCCAAGACTACCCTGTGTTTCTGTGTCTCTGTCTCTGCATGTGTCTCTTCTGGGTCTCTGTGGGTGTACTCTCTGGCTTCCCTGCTGTTTCTCATCTCCCATCTCCCCGTGTCTTCCTCTGTGTCACCCTGCCTCTCCCTGTGCTCTATTGGCTCCTGCACTCTGAGTCTCTTGTTTCTGTGTCTCCTTGCTCCTTCTCCCAACATGATATGTGGGGAGGGGGCAGGTGGAAGGCCACCCTCTTGAGACCCCTGTCCTTCCAACTAACTGCATAGGCTGAGGTCTGATGAGAGGCCCAGGCTGCACCCTACACCCTTTCATTGCCACAGCCTGGGCCTGCCCCTGACCCCTGGCTGAGTATGTGGAAGCTCAGACCCCTTTCTTCCTCCCTCCCTCACCTCCCATCCCCCATCCCTTTCTTCCCCTGAGCCTAAGGGCCCTAGTCCTGCAGGCTGGGGAGCTGTGGGTTTGAAGATTGCTCCATTTCTGCCTCCTGCCGCCCCTGCACAGAGCCACTATAATTACATGTGGCTGCGGTTCACCTCTTCCCCAGTGCTCTGGCCGGCTCCTTGTCCCCCTCCTGACTGTAGCCCCTCCCTGCTCCTCACCCCCAGGTTCCTCTGACTCCTCTGCCATCATCCTCTCTGACCCAGTTTCTCCCCTATCTCCCTCCACGCTCTGTATCACACAGTGCTACCTTCTCCATCACCTCTGCCCCTGCTCCATCTCTATCTTTCTCTCCATTACTGACTTTCGCGCTATTGCTGCGTCTCGCTCCCGTCCCAGGCTGTCTGTCGTTGGGTCGCTATGGATCTCTCTTCCATGCCCAATCTCTTGCAGTCCGATGCTCTATCTCCCTTTTCCTCTACCTCTCACTGTCCCTTTATTCTCCCTGTCACTCTCAATGCCTGTCCCTATCTCTCCATCTCTGACCATCCGTCTGTTCTCCCCTGCGTTGTGTTTCTGCCTCCTCTCCCTACTTCTCTTTATACTCTGCCATCTCTGCCCCTCCCAACACCACATGCACACGTGCACACACTCAAATGCATGCACACCCTTGCTCACTCCCAGATTGTGGTTTGGGAGCTTTCTATTTTGGAGCCTGGTGCTGTTGTCAGATAGAGTAAGGGCTGGGTAACTGGTGCAAACAGACAAAGAATGAGGGTTCAGTGGGCATGCTGGGCTGTGGGGCGGGGCCCGTGGCTGGGCAAACAGGAAGGCCTCAGGAAAATGAACCTCAGTCATCTGCTTTTTTCCTAGCCCAGACCCTATCCCTCCTTCCTGGGTTGGAGGTAGTAACAGGATCCATTCACCCTGCGGAGGCAGCGCCACAGGAGGGCTCCCTGGAGGAGGCGGCAACTCCCATGCCCCAAGGCAATGGCCCTGGCATCCCCCAGGCCCTGGACAGCACTGACCTTGATGTCCCCACAGAAGCTGTGACATGTGAGTCCTAGGGGGCCAGGACGTTGGATGGCAACATGTAAGGGTTGCACTAGGAAACTCAACCCAAATTGGTTGGCAAAAGTGGGTGCACCCACTTGGCCAGAACCTTGAGGGTTGTAGCACGGGCAGCAGAAAGGGGAAGGGCACTGTCACTGTGCTTTCTGTCAAGGGGAAGATCTCCATTGCAAAGTGACTCAGAAGCAGGGAGTGTGGGCAGGCTCCAGGCAAAATGGCTCAGGACGGAGAGCATGCTGCTGCCCCTGGAGAGAGGCACCCCTGGCCTCAGGAAGAGATCCTCGGGGCTGAGGTCAGGCGGGCAGCCAGAGCCTGATGCAGCTCCATCCTTCCAGGAATCAAGGGTAAAAGGAAGAAGCCCCCAGGTGCTCTGGGGCGAAAGGAACAAAATTCAGCTGCATTCCCAGGCCTGGCTCGAGTTCTCGAGGAGGTTGTGGGAGGGAGAGAATTTTCCACCTTCACCCTCAAGAACAGGAGAAGCAACAGCTGGGATCATTTTATAATTAACCAAGATTTGCCCACATCCATAGACACATTTTTACTTTCCAACTTTCTTTCCCTGAGTGGGCTCGCTTGCCCTCCTAATCAGCCTGTAGTGAGGCAGCAGGATGGCTACTGCCAAGTCCATTTTACAGATGAGGAAACAGGCACAGAGAGCTGCCCACCCTGGTCCCAAGCTGGGAAACTCAGGTCTCCTGGCCCAGCACTCTTTGCAGTGCCTGCCTGCATGCCCAGCTGGCATGGCTGAGCTGGGAGCCTCCTCCAGCCAGGGCATCTGGGGCTAAACTGGACTCCCTGGAAGTCAGGGTTACTAATCCCGCTAGTGCACGGCCCTCGGTCTCCTCCAGCACACCCACCAGCAGAATTGAGAGAAAGAGGTCAGCGCCGTGGCCTGGAGGGGCCTGGTGGGAATGGGACAGACACTCCTGTGTCTGTAAGCCCTGAGTGTTTGCTCTGTGACTCAGCCCCCACGGCCATGGCCACAGGCAAGCTCTGTGTCTGTCCACATCTCCCAGATCCCTCAGCTCACCGCACACTCCCACCCTCTGGTCACTGTGCCCATGTTTAGACAGAAGGGCAAGGGGCACCAAAGCTGGCCGAGGGCTCAGCCCAGTCACCCAGTGTGGCGCCAAGAGGTAGGGGCCAGATGATTCAGGCCTGGCCACTTCCCATAGCCTTAACTCTGTTTACCCAGATGCAGGCACCAGCCACACCTCTTGCTGGACACTCCCAGCATGGAGCATCTCCAGAACCCTGCCTTCCACCCTCCCCCTGGCCCCCCCACCTTATCCTCAGCTCCTTTCTCCCAATCTTCATGCCCTCCCTGCTCCACTTCCCAGCTATAGGACCTTTGGCAAGTTTTCCCCTCTCTGGGCCTCTGTTTTCTCATCTGTGAAATGGGGCCAGTAGTAGATCTATTGTGATGCCTAAAGAAGCTACTCCACCTGAAGCTTCTAGCACTGTGCCTGGTACATAATACCTACCTGAAACATGCACACCACCAGTTATGAGGGTAGTGATTGGTGTGATAGCAGCAGCTTATTCCTCAGTCGCTTGTCTCCCAGCCTCTGCCCCTTTGCAGGCCTCTGCCCTCTGAGCCCCAGCTCCTAATCTCTAAGCTTATCCCATCTCTGACACTTGCTAGCTGTGTGACCTTGGGCAACTTACTGTTCCTCTACCTGTCCGGGACTCAGTTTCCTCATCAGTAAAAGGCTAGCGATACTGAGGGGATCCGTGAGCAGCAAGTACTTAGAAGGGCTGGTGTGCAGGAAGCACGCAGCGTGCAATGTCATGACTGCTGCCATCGCTGGAAGACCCGGCCTCTTCAGCCAAGGGAGGCACTGAAGCCACCTTCCCCTCTGCTTGGGCTCCAGGGCCCCCAAGACATCTCCTTCCTACACAATTCACACACACACAGACCAGGCCTGAGGGAGATGGGGATCCAGACCCCGGCTTCTGAGGGACTGAAGTGCCCCACCTTTACAGAGGGTCCTTGGGGCCACAGGGTCCTACCCAGGAGTCAGGACCCCTGCACAGCTGAGGGGCCCCAGAGCTCTCAGTGACCCCTCCTCAGTCCCTCCTCACTCCCTGCACCATGCACACCTCCCCTCATCTCTTGAGAACAGAACTGAGCCAACTGGTTCTCACCCAGAACTGGACATCCCTGAGCGAGGAGCAGCAAGGAACTCGGGGTTTGGGGGGTCTTCAGGGTCACCTTGCTTGCACGCCATTGATAAAGCTGAAGTTTAGTCCCTCAGCCTGCAGTGGGGACCCAGGGGTCCTGGCTTCAGGGGTCTCCTCACTGCCCTTCCTCTTGCCTTCTTCTCTCCCTCCTCTCCCAGACCTCAAGGGCCCCTCCCCAGACTCTCTGCCAGCTGACCATAGAGGCAGGATGGGGTTGGGGGTGCGGAGGGCAGAGGCTTGAGTGGAGGCACCAGGAGGAAGGAGCAGGAGGTAGAGGGGCTACAGTGAGGAGCCCCTGGATTCCAGAGCCAGGCGTTCGTCTCCAAACAGATGTTTCCAATAAATCACCCAGTGCGCCAAGGGCAGTAACAGCTGGGGGCTTGGCAGAGGCCGAGGTGAAGATTAACTGCTTCACTGCTGTGCTCCCGACCCCAGCCAAACCACCCCTCTTCCCCAGCACCGCCACTGCCACCACTCTGCCAAAACTCCAGGATGGCAAGAGCAGGAGAATGGACTTTGTGTGAGGAACAAAGGAGGGGTCCAGGGCTCTGAGCCTCTGCCCTTATACGTCTGTTATTTCTGGACTGAGCACTGAACTGAGAGTCAGGAGCTAGGCCCAACTCAATTCCATGGCGTGGCTCTGGACTAGTCATTTCTTCTCTCTGGGCCTCAGTTTCCCCATCTGCAGGATACAGGTCTGGCTGGGTGCTTTGGGTGTATGTAAGAATGAAGCAGGCAGGATTCAAGCATAGCTCTGGGGTCTGAATGACCCCCACCCTTTTCCCATCACCCTTTCTCTTCATCTCTCCAGGCCAGCCTCAGGGGAACCCCTTGGGCTGTACCCCACTACTGCCGAATGGCTCTGGCCACCCCTCAGAGGTGGGCGGCACCAGACGGGCAGGGAATGGTGCCCTGGGTGGCCCCAAGGCCCACCGGAAGTTGCAGACACACGCATCTCTCGCCAGCCAGGGCAGCAAGAAGAGTAAGAGCAGCACCAAATCCACCGCCTCCCAGATCCCCCTCCAGGCCCAGGAAGGTAAGCACCCCGTCCCATCTCTCCCTGGGAGAGGCCTCCAAAGCCAGGTTCCTCGAAGCAGGACGCACGGGCGCACAGGAGCACCTTCACCAGGCTCCTGCTCAGAAGTGCAGGATCTCAGCCTCCTTCCATGCCTACTGGATTGGAATCTCGTGGAGCTTAACAAGCCCTGTAATTAAGCCTGTAATCCCAGCACTTTGGGAGGCTGAGGCGGGTGGATCACCTGAGGTCAGGAGTTTGAGACCAGCCTTGTCAACATGGTGAAACTCTTTCTCTACTAAAAATACAAAAAAAAATAGCCGGGCATGGAAGCTGATGCATGATCAAATCTTAGAACCTTGCAAAGTACACCTGTTGGGTAAAGGTGTACCTGCCTTCTCAACGCCACCTCCCCACCACCCCCCCAAGCCCCTCCCCATCCCTGCTTTCCCAGAGTTGCTGTGACAAGGAACGGAGCCACCTGGGTTGATCCATCTTAAGCCACTTTTCTGGAAACAGAAATTTTCTGTTTAGGGAGGAAAAAAGAACATGTAGCAGAATAAAACGGTGCGGGGGCAGGGCTGCAAGGTGCAGTGGGAGGTCAGAGGATCCAGACACCCAGCCAGCTGATGCGCCTGCAACTCAAAGATCCTCTGCAGGGCCATGGGGGCAGCCAGTCCCCTCCTCACCAGCCATCAACTGAACGTGGCTAACAGGTGCCTGAGCTCAGTGATGGCCTGACCTTTACCTCAGATTGTTCCTGTGATTCCTGTTCGTGTGAAGGGACCCTGGCCTGGGCATCTGCAAAACACATTTGCATGTAACATGCTCAGAAACCTTCCCACTCCACAGATTCTGCCCAATAGTCTTTCTTTCTTTTTTTTTTTTTTTTTTTTTTTGAGACGGAGTCTCGCTCTGTCATCCAGGCTGGAGTGCAGTGTGCAGTGGCTCGATCTCAGCTCATTGCCACCTCCTCCTCTCGGGTTCAAGCGATTCTTCTGTCTCAGCCTCCTGAGTAGCCAGGACTACAGGCGTGTCCCACCACACCCGGCTAATTTTTGTATTTTAGTAGAGACGGGGTTTCACCATACTGGCCAGCTTGCTGTCAAACTCCTGACCTCAGGTGATCCACCCGCCTCGGCCTCCCAAAGTGCTGGGATTACCGGCGTGAGCCACTGAGTCCGGTCCCAACAGCCTTATTTGTGAAGGAGCCATTTATTCATTTAAAATGTCCTGGCCGGGCGCGGTGGCTCACACCTCTAATCCCAGCACTTTGGGAGGCCGAGGCGGGTGGATCACCTGAGGTCAGGAGTTTGAGACCAACCTTGCCAACATGGTGAAACCCTTTCTCTACTGAAAAAAAAAAAAAAAAAAAATAGCCGGGCATGGTGGTGGGCACCTGTAATCCCAGCTACTCAGGAGGTGGAGGTTGCAGTGAGCCAAGATCGCACCATTGCACTCCAGCCTGGGCAACAAGAGCAAAACTTTGTCTCAAAGAAAAAATCAAATGAAATGTCCTAGGCACCTGCTACGTGCTGGATACCCGGTTCATAACCTCATAAAGCTCTCATAGAGAGCTAGATAGATAATCACTATACGATGTGTTAAGTGCAGTGATAAACTCACACAGAGGATTATGCAAACACAGGGGGACCACTCACACCAGCCCAGAAATCTGGGGAGGGAATCCTGGGAAGGCTTGGAGGCGATGTCTGAGCATACCTTAAAAGACCAGAAGGAGGCTCCAGCCAGGAGAGCACAGAGCTAAGAAATGGCCAGTGTGGCTGGAGGGTGAACTGCCAAAGGTGAAACTCCTGGCAGGCAGGGGTCCTTGGAGATCCTTACCAACCAGGCAGTGAACCTAGACTATCTGGAAAGCAGTAGGGAGCCACTGAAGGGTTTACACAAGGTGGTGACCTCGTTAGATTTACATTTGAAGATAACGACCCTATCCAGTTTGGAGAGCCATCAGAAGACCCTAGTCCCTCCACACAGGCATGCGGGAGAACAGGATTAGACCCTCCACAGCATAGTGAGCCTCCCAGAGGGCCCCCAGCCAGGAGAGCTGTGCGCTGTGCCCCAGGGCCTGGCCCCAGCACACGGAGGGCTGCAGGACATGGGCTTTAGAGCCAGCAGCCTGGATTCAAGCCCCAGCTCCACCACCTCCCAGCTGGTGCCCAGCGCAGCTTCATGCATTTCTATTCACTGAGCACCTCTATGTGCCAGGTGCTGTTCTAGGGACTTGTAATCTTTCAGTGAACAAAATGGACAAAGATGCCTGCCCTGCTGGAGCTTACATACCCGGTAGGAGGAGCTGACAGTGAATATGAGGAAACCGTGTAGCACAGTGGGAGGCGACGCATCCTCTGGGGGATGAAAAAGACAGTCAGGTAGGGTGGGCAGGGAGTGTGAGGCAGAGCCAGCCGGTGGCAGTACTGAAGCGGGTGGTGGAAGGCCTCGATGAGAGGTGGCATTTGGGCAAAGAAGGAGATGAGAGAGTCAGCCGAGCATGTGCCTGTGGCAAGCTTGTTCCAGGCAGAGGAATCAGTGCCTGCATGGCCAAGGAGCAGCCAGGAGGCTGGCATGGCCAGAGCAGACCGATTCGGAGGAGAAGAGTGGGAGAAGAGAACTAAGAGGGCACAGGGATCAGACCACAGGGGGACTCAGAGGCCACTTCAAAGACTTCAGCTTTTATCACAAGTGACATGTGAACCATGGGAGGGGTCTGAGCAGAGGAGGGCCAGGATCCAGCAGATATTTCTAAAGGATCCCTCTGGCTGGCTGCGGTGTGGAGCGGAGATGCCGGGGGGCAGTGGTCAAAACCAGGGAGTGGGGACACCAGTGAGCAGGCTGTTGAAGGTGTCCAGGTGAGAGATGAACCAGGTGGTAGGATTTTGGGTGTAGATTTAACTTCTATCTCTCTCTCTCTTTTTTTTTTCTTCTTCTTCTTTTTTTTTTTTTTTTTTTTTGAGACAGAGTCTAGCTCTTGTTGCCCAGGCTAGAGTGCAATGGTGTGATCTCGGCTCACTGCAGCCTCCACCTCCTGGGTTCAAGCGATTCTCCTGACTCAGCCTCCCAAGTAGCTGGGATTATAGGCGCATGCCACCATGCCCAGCTAATTTTTTGTATTTTTAATAGAAATGGGATTTCACCACATTGGCCAGGCTGTTCTCGAACTCCTAACCTCAGGTGATCCGCCCACCTCGGCCTCCCAAAGTGCTGGGGTTGCAGGTGTGAGCCATTGGGCCCAGCCGACTTCTCTTAACCTCAGTCTCTTCATCTGTAGAGTGGGGCTAGTAATAGCCTCTGCCTCATAAAGTCGTTGGAGGCCTAAATGAATCTAATTCATGCACAGCACTCAGAACAGTGCCTAGAACATGAATCACTCCATATGTTGGTTAAATAAATAAACAGAGGGTGGCTAAGAGCAAGGATGATCCAGACTGCCTGGGCTGGACCCCTGCTCTGATGTGCTTAACTGTCTGTGCCTGGGGGTCATCACCTAGAAAATGGAGCTGTGGGGACAGATACGTGAGCTTCATGCATGCCGAGTGCTTGGCATGGGCAGGGGCACAGTAAGCACTCAGCGTCCCTGCCACTGCCGCTGCCGCTGCCGCTGCCGCTCCCGCTGCTGCTGGGCCCCCACACCCCGGGCTATTTCACACACGCCCACCCCTCCCCTCTCTCACCCCTCCCCGTCTCCACCGCCCACCCCGCAGACTGCTGTGTCCACTGCATCCTGTCCTGCCTGTTCTGCGAGTTCCTGACGCTGTGCAACATCGTCCTGGACTGCGCCACCTGCGGCTCCTGCAGCTCAGAGGACTCGTGCCTCTGCTGCTGCTGCTGCGGCTCCGGTGAATGTGCTGACTGTGACCTGCCCTGCGACCTGGACTGTGGCATCCTGGATGCCTGCTGCGAGTCCGCGGACTGCCTGGAGATCTGCATGGAGTGCTGTGGGCTCTGCTTCTCCTCGTGAGCCTCTGTTGGGGGCTGGGCCAGCCAGGCACCCCTGCAGATTCCAGCAGGGTCCCTCTGGGGCCAGGCCCGGGACTGTCACACAAGGCTTGAGAAACCCCCTCTCCCTGGTCCTCTCCCACTCATCCATGTCCTCTCAGAACCCCAGCCTTGAAAATGGTGAGGGGGACACTTGGAGAGGCCACCTCCTCAACCGTGGGTGGTGGGCCCATGGTAGAGAAGCCTGAACTCTTTACTGGGTTACCAGGGACATACATTACCAAGGACCTGACAGGACAACCTAGGGGCAGGGCTGGGGTGGGGGCCGCAGAGGGCAACCAGGGCTGCGGAACACTGTGAAGGTTACTTTGGGGAGGGCGGGCCGGTGGGGCCATGGCTCTCTACCTCTCCTTGCTCCTGGTGCCCGCCTCTCTCCTCCACCACCTCTCTCCTCCACCCTGGGGCTTAGAGGACAGCAAAATGTGAAAAGAGACGCCCCACCCACCTTCAGCCAGCCCTCTCCAGTCTCCTTTCCTGGGCTTTTGTGGGGGCCTAACCCACGCAGTGACCCCAGAGGGCGGGGCTAGGCGAGAGCCTGGGGTGGGGCGGGAGGGGAACAGTATGGAAAAAGACTGGAAGGGGAAAGGGAGGGAAGGGAGGGAGGGTCTGTTCTATTTGTTGCTGTAAATAAAGATATTTGTCCATCTCAGATTTCCTCAGGACTCATGACTAATTGCCATGGACCCTGACTCTCAAAAGCAAACGCCCCCTACCACCCCTAAAAAGCACCCACATGGACAAGGCTGCCTTGCCCTCTGGGGGCCCTGCCTCTTCTGCTTTTCTTACCCCAGAAACTGCCCTGCCCTTCACGTTCCCCTCCCTTCGTCATGTTTCCCACTAAGAGAAGAAGGTTAAGGGAGTACCGTCTCCCACCGTTATTTCCCTCTTCCCACCAAAGGGAGGGGAAGCCCAGAGAGGGAAGAGTTAACCTTGGCATGGAATTAATTAACAGCAGATGTGTTCGGGTTTTGATTAATTAATCTCCTGCTGACTCCAGCTTCTCCAGCTCTTCCCCATGAAGTCGCTCCAAGGTGTAGGTGACGCTCCAAGGTGTAGGTGACGCTCCAAGGTGTAGGTGATGCCCATGTCAGTGCCAGAGGGGTGCCTGGGAGGGAGCTACTCTAGGCCTGGGGCAGCCCAAGCTTGCCCTTGGGCTTCACTGGAGGCCCAGTGGGGGTCACACACCCAACCTCAGGCATCCCCCTATTGCCAGGGGTCTGAGAAAGAAGGAAGCCTTGTCAGGACTGCAGGGGCCCCTACGGCCATCTGTGGGGCAGCCTTGGTGTGCAGAGGGAGGGGCCTGAGAAGCAATGGCGGCTATGAGGACCTCAGGGCCGCACTGGGGGCAGCTGGACCAGCACCCCCCGACACACATCCTGGACCTGGAGGAGGCCAGGAGAGGTCCAAGGGGCATGAGAGGCTCTGAGACAGTTAGGGCAACTTGGAGAACATTCAGCTGATGAAGGCCTTGAGACGGGGGCCCCAGGGGTATTGGTGGGCACTGCTTCCAGGAATGAAGGCTTGGAGTGGCTCCAAGGGATTCTGGAAGGAAGGATGGGAGACTGGGGAAAAGGGCCAGATGAAATCCAAACTCTGTTAAGGAATATCACAGGAGGGAGCAGCCCATGGCCTTGGGAGTGGGTTTCATTGCAGCAGAAGGAGGAGGTTCTAAGAGGCAACGAGAGAACTAGCCTCCCCCCACCCCCTCCCCATTCCATCCCCACTCACACACGCCCCACTTCACCATCTTCAAGGTTTTCTGACCTCTAAGAACACACAAGAAGCTCAGGACACAGAGAGGAAGTGATCTGCCTGGGGTCTCACAATCAAGCCGGGAGAGGCCCCCCCACAGCACTCATGTATCTATTTGTGTGTATTTTAATATTTTTTTTTAGTTATTGCCTGCCCAAGGTACAGAAGGTTTGAAAGTCTAATCTGTGCACACACAAGCATTTACACGTATGAGTTTTCTTTTTTCACAAAAATGTGAGGATCCTGTACACACTGTCCTGTACCCTGTTTTTCCCACCTGGCCATATCTTGGGGAGCTTCCTTCCCAGCACACGGAGAGCTGGCTGAGCTGCCCTGGATGGATGCGCCACAGTCCAGGCACCCAGCTCTGCTTAGTCCGCTCCCAAGCGCTTTGTTACAAACCAGGCTGAGTGAGGCACACCCTTTTGCATGAATGAGCTGTATCGGCAGAATGTTCGTGAATATGGGATTGCCGGGCCTACCATTGGCAGGACTGCCCAGCTGTCCTCTGTGAGGGCGTACAGCCTCGGCTCACTCAGCCTCAGGGGCATCCACTTCTCCCACTGCCCTGGAGAGACAACGGTGGGAGAGTTTCCCATTCAGTCCTCAAGGCTGGGGTCTGAGAGGTGTTAGGGAGGCCAGATCAAGGGGTGAAGGGGCTCCTGACCAGCTCAATATCTGGTCCAGGTGGGCAGGAAGGCCTGCTCCTGGTCATACCCGCTCCGCAGGGCTGTGGCAGGAAGAGGCGCCTCTGCAATCCAAACAGCGATTTCCTGCTGCAGGCTCCAGGCTGTTTTCTTTAGGACAGTGGCTGAAACCCTAGAGGCTAAGCTGGGTGGGGGCAGGACTGGGGAAGCATTTAGCCAGCCCCTCAACACACACACACACACACACACACTCCAAACACACACCACTTCACACCTACACGTGCACACACATACACTCACACAGACTCTCCATACAGTCACATACTCACATACATTCCACAGGCTCATGGATTCCACCACCCACACCACACACACACTCACACCACATCTGCACACACACAGACACACACTCACACATTTCACAGCCTGCAGACGCCGCCACCCCTGGCCAGCCTGAGGCTGGGCTTCGGAGACTCATGCCTGTCCCTTCCCACTTCGTCCCACGCCTGCCCTGCCTTCCTCACCTCCCTGTCTTTGCCCAGGTGACCTTTATCCCTGCCGGGCAGCAAATGGCAAGCCCTGGCTCCGGGCCCTTCCCTCTCCTCGTGGTCCACTACAGGCTCCCAGGCTCTGCTTTCCAATGGCTGGGCTGAGCCAGGAGACAGTTCTAGGCCTGGCTGTGCTGTGGGCCCCCCGGGAAGAGGCCCTTTCCTCCCCAGGCCTTAGTTCCCTGTGTGTATAACGGAAGAGCAGGGAGACTGCAGCCGTAATGGTGGCCACAGTATCCAGGGAACACCTGCCTCTCTCCAGTCTTCTTTCATCTTTGGAGCAGCGGATCGGGCCACTTTTGTCCGGGAGATGTCTTAAGAGGCCACCCCCACCCCCTGGGTTGTCTAAACCAAGGTGAGCACCCCCTGCTTGTGGGAGAGAGGTGGTGAGGCCAAGTTAAGCCATCTGTGTCCAGTACTGTCCATGACCACTTAGTGACCTTGTGTGCCAAACCTAAGAGAGGTGGCCCCACGGCAGAGCAAGTAGCTGAGCTAGGGCTGGTTTGTGAGGGGAGGGCAATCAGCTGGACCCCTTGGCCTCCGTAGTCTCCATCAGCTTCTCCCTGTATTTGGAACTTTTTTTTTTTTTTTTTTTTTGAGACGGAGTCTCGCTCTGTCGCTCAGGCTGGAGTGCAGTGGCGCAATCTCCACTCACTGCAAGCTCCGCCTCCTGGGTTCACGCCATTCTCTTGCCTCAGCCTCCCATGTATCTGGGACTACAGGCGCCCGCCACCACGCCCGGCTAATTTTTGTATTTTTAGTAGAGACAGGGTTTCACCGTGTTAGCCAGGATGGTCTCGATCTCCTAACCTCGTGATGCACCCGTCTCGGCCTCCCAAAGTGTTGGGATTACAGGCTTGAGCCACCGCTCCCAGCCTGTATTTGGAACTTTAACTGGCATGGCCTGTTCTCAATACTCAGAGCGGGGCAAACTGAACTTCAGGCCCCATGGCCTCCATGGCTCCAGAGCTGCCAGGACAGAACACCGCTAAGCAGCTCTGACACTGGGCTGAGCAGGTCCACCCCTGCCCCATGCCATCACCCTTAACAGCTTCACCTGCTCCCCAGGGTGATGGTCCAGTTGTGGGGGCTGGGGCTGGTCCCTGGGGTTTTCAGGCTGACTGCCGCGCACACTCCTGGGGCTGAGCAGGGCGCAGCGAGACTCCACTTGTTGACCAAGCTGGGAAAACAGCTTAGCTGTCTTTGGGGCTGACCCTGGGCAAAGAGAGGTGAGGGAGAAGCTGGGACAGGAGGCTCAGGCCACAGTGGGGGAGTAGCAGGTCGTGGGGACAGAGCTCACAGACCTGGTCCCTTGTCATCTCTGTGCAGATGCTCGTCCGCGCTCTGACTTTTGTAGGCTGGTGAGGATACGCGGTATGGGATGGCGCTCGCAGTCACAGCCCTCTTATCACCCAAGCTGACCCCTCGTCTTTCGCCTCCTCTGGAGAAAAGCCATCTCTCAGCCCTTCCTTGCCTCTCACCTGGTTTCACCGCTTTTCCCCAGGCTGTAGCCACCTTCCCATTCACAATCCCTGCCATATCTGGGTCTGCTTCTTTCTGGGGGTGGGGCACATTTCCTCCTACTGCAGACAGATACAGGTGGAGTGGGAAGGGGTAGACACACTGTCCACCTGGCACCGTCTCAGTTCTACCACCTTGGGGCCACAGAGCAAAGGCTAGGGAGGCACTCTGGTTGGCCCCGCACATGCAACAGGCTCATCCCTGAGCCAATCACGGTGCCAGGGGATGGAGGGCTGCGGCTGGCCAGGCCTCATTGTGTGCTGCGTCTGAGGCCTGGGAGAGTGGGCTACTTGGCCACCCCTCCAGACCCTGATAGAATCAAGGAAGGGAAGCCTCCCGAAGAGGTAGGGGTGCTGTAAGAAAAACAGGGGGAAAGCTAACAGATTAAAACAAAAGAAGTTACCGTGGGGTCAGACTACCATGGGTGTTACAGAGAAGTCCCTGAGTGGAGGAGACCCAGCTGGAAACCTCAAGTTGTCAAGTGCAGCTCAGCACATTTAGCTGGAGAAGAGAAGGCAAGACTGGCCTTCAAGAACCTGGAGCTTGGGGAGGAGAGCGCGGCTTGTTTTCAGCCTCCAGCAGGTAGGGATGAGACCGAGAAGCAGACATAACAGAAAGAGCATTCCCAGCCCCAGGAAGGAGAGAACACTCTGCTAGCAAAAACTGCCCCAAGGAGGATGGACCTCCACAGCGGTGGGCAGGGTGGGGGTCATCCCTGTTCCAAGGACTATGCTGGGGGAGTGGGTGTAGATTAGGTCCCTGCCCAGGTATTGACAGGGTGGCAGAAAGGACAGAAGGTGGAGAGTTTTTACAGGTGGCCCCCACAATTCCTTCTAACTCAGACCTTCTGTAGCTAACAACATAGACTGCGGCCATCTGATAAGAGAGAAACACAGGATTGAAGGTAGACGGGGAGGTGGAGTAAGATGAAGAAAAGGAGACAGAGACAAGGAGGCAGACAGGAGAGGGCAGACAAAGTAAGGCCCTCGGAGACGGAAAGGTGAAGCAGCAGGCTGTAGCCCCCAGCCCCTCCCAAGGTCGCCCGCTGTGGGCCGTGGGGCCGTGGGGCCCCTTAGCCCGGGTCCCTCCCGGGCATGGAGCCTCCGCAGAGCTGGGCAGCTCGGCATTAATTAGGACCTGGCTAATGGCTCGGAAGATTGGCCAGTTCTAGGGACGCTGATGA